TCTTGGGGTCCCTCGTGCCTAATGCAGAGTTTTAAAGATGTGGTTCTTTCCAGAGAGCATTGCAAGGCCCCAAAGGGCCCTCTAACACAAAGTTATAAGAGAAGCCCACATTAGCCACCCCCCAACCTGCTGCAGATTGGTTGGCAGAAGATGAGACACCCTGACTGCTGAGGGTTAATTAGTGACCTGGCGCCCATCTGCTTGGGGAGAACTTGCCAGTCTTTTTTCTCTTTCCAAAGGCATAAACATTTGCGCTGCAAGTCGCCCAGGGGGCCTGGCGATGTTTATTTTGTAGTTAACAAAGAGAAGGACCTTTTGGCTTGGGGGCTGAGTGTTCTGCTGGCCCCAGGGAGAAGCTCTTGGAGGCCCCCTGCACCAGCAGGTGTCTCTGGGGGTGATGCAGGGCGGGGTGGGGCAGCTTCACTCCCTGGTGATGGAGAGTTCCTTTTATAAGGAGAAAAAAGGATGCTCTTAAATAAGGATCTGCCTGCTGTTGGGTCCCCAGGGTTCAAGGCCCAGAGGACTCGCCTTCTGGCAGACAGCAAATCAGAGAGCTTCTAGGTGTCACAGGGAGAGTGAGAGTCCCGTTTTAAAAGACCAGGTTTAGGACCCGGACGGTTGCGTGTAGCCGGCGCGTCAGGGCTGCCCTTCTTCCGCAGCTCTCTGGTCTTACCACTGGGCGGCGCTGGTGAGCAAGGCTGCGCCGGGATGGCTCCTGCAGGGACAGCCGAGGCGCCGAGCCCGGGTCTGGGGGCTGCGCGGGGGGCGGTCCGGCTGGCGCAGCTCTTCGGCGCCTTCTGTCTGCGAGGAACTGGGCTTGGGGGGTTAGGCTGCCTGTTTGCCCATCTGGGACCAGAAGGGAAATAGGAGGACGTTCAAATTCTGTATTTGTTCCTGACCCGAAGTAACGGATAAAGAAATCCATGGCAGGCAACAAGCTAGCAGAGAAGGATGTTTTCACCCAATAGCTATGTCCTTGAGAAGGTGAAGGTGGGTAGATACTTTTATGAAATAGGGCCACATACTGAACGTATTGGGGGAAACTACTTAAAGGAACCGAGTCAGGAATTATTTACCAAGGAGAGAACCGTGTGCTTGGAGTTTGATAAATGGGGTTCTCAACCCCAAAGACAGGGAGCACCTGAGGTCCCCGTGCTCTTGGTGGGCTCCTGAGGTCTGGTTTGAGAACCATGGGATTCAACTCCTATTTGCAGAGTCGGGACTCCGGCCAGGCCCTTGACAGCCTGACTCCTCTCCAGATCTTTGTAGTTAGAGGTATCACCACCCTTAGTTTACTGAGAAAGCGCATTAAAACGCCGGCGGGGGGGCTAAACAATTTATCTTTATTATTTTATTTACTCTTCACCACAACTCTCTGAGAAACTAGTGTTATGCCTATTTTATAGATGAGTCAACAGGTTAGAAAGGTGACCTCTCTGCCTGAGATTGGGGAACTAGTGACGGCAGAGCCCAAATTGAACCCCGGTCCCCAGGAGTGCAGCACTCATGGTCTTAAAGCTCCTCTGATGCCGAATCAAGCCTTCCAAAGCGAAGCCAGGTTGCTCGGCAAAGGTTCCCTACACAGGATGTGACATCAAGCCCGTGTCCTCCTCCCGCCCCTCGTGCTGTCACCCTCCCCGGGCCCAGCTTCCAGTCTCCGTTACCCCAAATAATACACAGGTATGGTCTGGAGTGTGTTTCTGGAGTAGAGAGTTCCAAAGCCTTGGGCCCAAGTCGCAAATAACTGCGGTGGGAATGGACACATGGTGAAGACATCGACGAAGAAAGGCTGCCCTTTGCCGTCAGTCTCCTTGAGCCTGACGGTCAGCCGGGAAGGCGAGGAGTCGGAGAAAGTTAAGCAGATTCCATCTGCCCCTTTGCTAAGAGATTCGATTGGCAGATCCCAGCCAAGCAAGGCAGCGTGCAAAAGGACCGGCCTCGCCCGCCTCTCAGGACTAAGAAAGGCAAGTTTCTAGGAGACTGGGGCTCCCTGCGTGGGAAAGGGAAGTGATTTTAGCTGAGCGTTTGGCTGGGAGTCCAGCTGATGGTTCCAACTCATGGCTATTAGCAAAGGAGAACAAGGAATTGCTGAGGGTGGCAAATTGGTTATAATTAAGAGAACCTGGGAGACACAAAAACAATGTGAAGGCCACCAGCTGTCCCGGCTCTGTGGCCTCCATCCCTGCAGGAACAGCTCAGGAAACCAGCCGCCCTGCCCTGCCGTGCTCACCATTCAAGCAAAGACGGGGCAGAAGGAGCCTCTCCGGGCCCTCCCTTCTACTCCCAGGCCCAGGGCTGCCACGCATTAGGGGCCCCCTTTCCACTCCACCAGCACCTTCTCCTTCCCTTTCTCCACAATTTAAACTCACCCACCTTGTCTCTCAGGAAAGCAAACAGGGTTGGGAGTGGGTTCAGATCCTCACTCCTGTGCTTCTTAAATGAGTTATTTAACCTCTCTGAGCCTCGGTGTCCTCATCTGACAGATGTGGATAATAACAATGCCTAATCCATACAGTTGTGAGTGTTAAATAAGATGTGTCAGAGTGGTCGGCATGGTGCACGGGGTGGCAAACGACAGCCTGTGGGCTTGCCACCTGTTTTTGTATGGCCCAAGAGCTAAGAATGGTTTTTAGATTTTTTAATTGTTGGGGAGAAAATTAAAAGAATATTTGGTGATATGTGAAAGTTATATAAAATTCAAGTTTCAGTGTCCCTAAGTTAAGTTTTATTGGAACACGACCTGCCATTTGTTTATATCGCCTGTGGTTGCTTGCACGTGGGCCTCGTGCCTCCCACCCCCGCAACCCCCCACCCCTCCTAGGGTTGCTGGACGGCTCCAAGACGTGCAGTGATGGGGTCCTTGAGGGTCCCGGTGGATGGGCTGTGTTTCTAGCAAGCGGAGCTTCCTCCAACCAGTGTGGGCAGAGTTGAGTAGTTGTGACAGAGACCAGACACCGCATGGGCTGAAAACCCCAAAATAGTTACTATTTAGCCCTTTGCAGAAAAAGTACTTGACAGGTAAAAAGTCATCAGTAAAGCGTATCCATGGTTACTCTCATTATCACTCTTGTTGCTGTTCTCTTTCGCTCTAATTTTAACTTTCAGGTAAAATTGCTTATGACTTAATGGAGAGATTCTAAGCATGAGGTCCACGGAAGGGTTTCAGGGGATCTCTGAATCCCTGGAATTTCTATGCAGATTTTCGAAGGGGGGATCTTTTGGGGGTAGGGACTTGATAACATTCATCCGATTCTAGCAGGGGGCCATGTCTTCAAAGAGGTCAAGAAGTGTAGGTCTGAGCCTTCCTCGCCCGAGGCAAATTGAACTGTACTTTCTCTGGGCTGTCTGGAGACATCACCTGTGATGGAGAGAGATTTGGGGGCCGGGGGCCTCCCTCAGAGCCCGTCCCTGCCCGGGTGGGAGAGGCCTGCAGTGCAACAGGAGTAAGGGGCCCTGGCTTTGGAGGCAGCAGACATTGGGCTGAATCCCGGCCCTGCCCTCCGCTGGCGGGGCCCCTTCGCTGAGCCTTGGGTCCCACGCCGGGTTGCCGCAGGATAAATTCAGTAATGTCTGTCGAGTGCTTGGCACAGTCTGGCACACATAGGTACTGCAGAAATGCTAGCTGTTTTCTTCTTATTATTATCCTTGCACATTCAGAAGCTTTCCTCAGCTCACCACAGATCCATTAAGAAGCTGCTCGAGGGCCGGCCCAGTGGAGAAGTGGTGAAGTGCGCATGTTCCGTTTCTCAGTGGCCCGGGGTTCACCAGTTCTGATCCCGGGTGTGGACATGGCACGGCTTGGTACGCCATGCTGGGGTAGGCGTCCCACATATAAAGTAGAGGAAGATGGGCACGGATGTTAGCTCAGGGCCAGTCTTCCTCAACAAAAAGAGGAGGATTGGCAGTAGTTAGCTCAGGACTAATCTTTCTCAAAAAAAAAAAAGAAGCTGCTCGATATCTGACTAAATGTGAGGTTTGAATACCCATTGAATGCTCTGGATTTGATTTCATCTTGGTACTAGCAACGAAGGCAAGTTCATTAAACATATTCATATGGTCAGTGTGCAAAATAGCAGGCCCCTAATTAAGTTTTTAAAAGCGCAGTGGCCTTATTTGAGCAGGGACAATGGTAAACGTTCCTAAGAGTGAAATAAGTGAAATCTGAGACTTCCCTGTTGCAAAAGCCTTGGCTCTTTCAGGCCTTTCTGTTTTCTCCCCTGAGGAGTTACTCTGGACCTCAAGTTTCGATCGACTTTCCCCCTAAAATGCTGCTCTGTGGAGCCCGCTTCCCCAGCCTGGTCATCCGCAGCCAGCAGGTTCATCCCAGAGCCCCGTGACCACCGCCAGCAGGGCCGAGGGGGTTGCTGCCGCTGGCTGTCCTGGAGACGGGCCCCCTGGACACAGGCTGGTCCACAGCCAGCCCAGCCTGGTGCTGCCCGCCCACGGTTGCTGGGTGTAGTCCATTCAGCAGGGGCCTGATGGTTCCAGCCAACAGCTGGAGACCAGCAATGAAGACTTCCAGCTACAAGCAAATGTTGCTGCTTCTTGAGGTTGAAATATTCTATCCCCAAAGCGTCCCTTTCAGCCAAGCGAAAACAATCCCCCGTGGGGACCCGACCCGCCACAGAGGAACAAAAGCTTCCCAGTTCTCGGAGCCCCAGAGACTGCAGCTTCGGGCACACACAGCCCAGGGGGGAGAGGAGATGATCATGTGACTTCCGAGCTTGGAGACGAGGTCACTCTTGTCCAGCCCTTTTCGTCTCCACAGGAAGAAGGGCCTTTGATTGCCTGACAAAGGATGAGGCTGATGCTGCCCTGGTGCTGGCTCCCATGTGGCCGGGTTGTACAATGTCCGCGTCTCTCAGGTTTGGGAGAGCAAGGAGGTGAGGTCGAAGTCAGTGGTCCCCAAAGTCCACTCAGATAGGTGTGGGGAGCTCTTCCTGGTCCTGCTTTAGGCAAGACAGTTGCACATTCTGGTTGCATTTTTTTTTCTCTTGCAGGCTAATCTGTCTCAAAGAAATTCACCAGCAAGCCCATCTCATTTGTTTGCCACCAGCCATTAAAAATATTTTCCTTCAGAGAAGGAAAGAGATTCTGGGAAAGAGAAGGAATGCTCGGAGAAGATAAACACTCACGTGAAGCTCGCCTTTAAGGTGTCATCACATTGCAACATCCACAGCAGTGTGAGGGCTGATCGCTGTGGGTGCAAGCCGAAGTTAGCAAGGGGGAGGACGGTGGGAAAGAGAGGGGCTCTGGGGAAGTCTCTGGAATAACTTCTGTGCGGCATGCCTTTCTCCCCCACCTCTCTGTCCTGCACTGAGTCTCTGGAGTGCCGCAGCCTTTGCAGTCGAGTAACAAACACACTGCTGACGGTGAGGGTAGCGGCCTCTGGAACTTACACAACTGTCTAAGTGTGGACGATCCGTTCCAGAAGAGAGGTGACTACCAAGCAAACTTCTCAAACAAGTTAAAATCATTGTCAGACTGCAGTGAGCATCAGCACCATTCAGGAAGCTTCGCTGGGATTCTGACTTGGCAGGTCTGGGGCGGGGCCCAGGAAGCTGCATTCTGAACAAGCACACCAGGAACTCTGAGGCAAGCGATCCAGGCACCCCTCTGAGGAGCACGGCTGTGGTGGTGTTCTTTTCTTGGGCTGGTCTGTGCTCCCTTTTCTCCCAGCCATAACCGGCTGGGGCAGAGAGACCTCACCTGGCAAACCATCTCCTGAGAATTCGGAACTGGGGCTCACAGAACCAGCAGTGCGCGTGCTGGAACCAGCCAGATCAGAAGCTTGGCTCATAGATTCTTTGGCTTCTGAAGCTGCCCCCTCTCTTGGCTCTCCCAGCCCCGACTCTGGTCCTGCCCAGGCTCCTCCTAATCCACCTGTGTCCTGAGACACTGTCCTTAGCAGCCTTCTCTGGTGACCCCAGACACATCCTGGGATGTCATCCATGCCCACATGTCCAAGGACTGTGCTCCCCAGGCCTGAGCCTCTGCAGGTCTCAGGCTGCCTGCCCAATGCCTACTGGACAGCTCTGCCTTGATGTCCTACAGGGAACTCACTTAACTTAGCTCAAATGGAACCCAGCATTTTTCCTCTCAGACATGGCACCATTTATGTTTTGTTTGTTTGTTTTTGGTGAGGAAGATTGGCCCTAACATGTTAGATGAGCTAACATCTGTGCCAATCTTCCTCTATGTTCTATGTGGGATGCCGCCACAGCATGGTTTGATGAGCGGTGTGTAGGTCTGCGCCCGGGATCCAAACCCATGAACCCTGGGCCGCTGAAGCAGAGCACGTGAACTTAACCACTATGCCACAGGGCCAGCCCACCATTTATGTTCTTTATCTCAAAGAATGGCCCCACTCTCCCCTCCCAATACCCAAGTCAAGATACGTGGCCATTATCCTAGACACTTCCTTGTTCTTAACCCCCTACCACTTAACCTCTGCAAAGAACAGCTACCATTTATTGAAAACACACCACTGGTAATATTCCATCACAACTCTATGAGGCAGGGACTGTAAGTGCCCCATCTGACAGAGAGAAAGTAGCACACAAGGCTGGGGCACTCTCCCAAGGTCATGTGGTACATGGTGGGGTTGCAGTGTGAGCCCAGGCCTATGGGTCCTGCTCTTACTAAGCACCCCTCTCCGTCCTAGGTCCTCCTGAGCACAGAGCCCTGTGCTCTTCACCATGATGCACCCCCGTCTCTCCCTTGTGGTGTGTTGATTTGGAATTCCAATTCTTTCAGATCTTACCAGCTGAAGATCAACTGTGGGTCAAAGCCATGATGAGATCTGAGAAAATCTGGAGACATGAACAGAAAAATCTGAGCAAATGGTGAGGCCTGGCATTTGCACAGAATTAAGAGCACACAGTCTCCCAGCACGCGACACCTTCCTCGTCCTGGGGCGCTGGAGCACTCCCATAAAAACGACAAGCTAGGACCCATCACTGTTTCTACAACAATGAGAATATTTATTTTCTTCAGACAGTAAAAATAACATTTTTCTCTCTTTTGTAAAAGTTAAGTACCATTACATTCCATTTTCTTAAATAACAAAATCCTAAAAATATATATTAAATTGTATACAGTGTGTCACACTTCATCTTATACTTTAAAATACATGATGTTTCTATTTTATTCTCAAAGTTGCATATTAAGAGCATATTTACAAATAAAGCCTTGTCATCCAAAGTCAAGATCCCCAGGGGAAGGTGAGTCTGGATGTGGGCAGGTCTTGACGCTGCGTGAACCCCACGACGGCAGCCCCCCGCCACATGCTCCTGAAGACACATCCTTTCTGAAGCAGATTTACCTGGGCCTTTCCTCCACACTCCACTTCTGCCTTGTTGAGTATGTTCTACTCGGCAAGACAGAAGCCTGTGAGATGGGCCCCCCTGGGGTCTGTAGGCAGAGGGTGAGTCCCTGTCACCCCTGAGCCAGCCAGCCTGAGGGGAGGCAGCTGTGGTGGAAGGTTTGCAGAACACCCCATGCCAGGGCAGCTTAGCTGAGAGACCTGGCCAGGAGGTAGAGGAGTGAGGAAAGTAAACAAAGACACCAGAGGAAACAATCAAAAGGTTAAAAATTCCCAAGGTAGTAACAAAAGCAGACATCAAACACCAAGCAGGGGATTCGAAACCCAAGAGGTGCCAGCTGACTGGGCTGTGGAGGGGGGTGCTGGCCCGCCTGGGTGGGAGACCTGGGGCGGCCTCAGGAGGCAAGGAGACAGGATCTCCGAGGCCGTCCACTTATAAGTGCTCGTGAAGATTAAGTGCCCAGGACACACGGGGGCTTGGTAATGGCCTGCATACCCGGTTGGTATCAGGATGGCCTGGCCAGATCCTGAGCTGGGTCAGACTCCTGCCTTGGGCTGACAATGGAGTGTGTGGGTGGGGCCGTGCCCAGACACACCTCAGGAGTTTGGCCTAAGGGCCAGGACAGCTGTACTTGCTAGTGCTTTGATCTCTGTGGGTTTCTGGCCAGTTGGAGTCTTGAGTCAGAGCCCATACTTCAGAAGTTACAGCAACCACGTTACCTTGCTGACACCAAGAGGGAGGCCTCAACCCTGTTCCGGCATGGGGGATGGGGGGAAGGCACCCCGGGGCTCATCCCTCCTCTTTCTCTGCTCTGCAAGAAACTGGACACTTGAGCAAGAACACAGGGCACTGAGTGCCTTCTAGAGCAGACAAGCACACTGTGAAACATGGCTAAGAGACCAGGTTCACAGCTGGCCAAAGCACATTCACCATGGGAGGCAAGAAGATCAGCTGCCCACTGGGACACACGCTGAGAAGGCAGGGCCTGGGAACCTGCAGTGAAGGGATGAGGAGGGCACACAGGCCTCGAGGGGTCTGCCTGCAGCCTCCTCCCCTCTGTCACCTCGGGGCAGAGGCCTTGGGCAGAATGCTTTCAGAACCAACATCCATAGTGGTCCCCAAAGCCCTTCCCCTTCCTGGTTCATAATCTTCTGCTATGTGATCTGTAATGTTCTTTTCTCAGGATCACCCTTTCCAGTAACTTCCAGCCCCCACTTTCTCTCTTCTAAAGCAGTTTGTTAAAAGATCAAGTGCTTCCTCTTTCAGTGCTCTTAGAAGCACGCCTCATCTCTTCTGGGACAATTTATTTCTCAGGAGTTTACTTAGCCACCAGGGACCCTGTGTGGGGTGTTGCTGACAGGTTCCAACCAAGGCCACGGCCAGAATGTGGCCCAGGCGTTTATGGAGGCTCAGCCTAGGACAATTTACGGCCATCTCCTCCCATACTGTCCTGAGCCAGGTTTGGGTTTCCCATGGCCACTCCCTGGACAGTAAGCTGATCCTGGCGGCAGAGGGCTGTGCCAGGGCCGGCCGGAAGGAGAGCACCGGGGCATCACCAGCACTTCTGGGACCGCTGAGAAAGGGCTGCAGGCCCAGACAACACACCGTGACCCGAGGTGTGCGGTGGGCAGGATGGGCGTGTGGGCCCACAGGCTGCCCTGAAAGCCAGCGATCAGAGTAAGCCCTGGGCAGCTGAACAACTGCCCCTCGGCTGGGTGAACTCTTTGCCAAATTCCACATTCCCTTTGTGCTGCGAAAGGATCTATTCACAGCACAGGGCCCTTTGTGACTGCACACACCTGACACTTGTGTTTGTGAGGAGATTCCACCAAAGCCAGGAATAGCTGGGAGGGGAGACTGCACATGTCAGTGGTCTTTGTAAAGGACAGGCTTGTCTCCAGCCCCAGGGGCCTGCGGACAGCTGCTCCAGGGTAATCACCCTTTCCAGATCAAAGCATGGAGATAGCACCAAGCAGTTCCATGCCTGCTGCAGGCCTTGTACAGTGCCCGGGGGAGTACCCCTGCCCCATTTCCCTCCCCTGAATGCCCCTGCCTTCCAGCTCCTAGCATCTCTCCTGGTTGCCGAGTGTCACCTCTCCCTGCAGACACCTCCCAGCTGGCCCCACACGGTAGTCCATCTTTCTGGGAGTGGCCAGGCACAGACAGGTTGCCGGTGCACAAGAGCAGCAGCAGGCAGTGGCTTAGGGACCGGGGGAGGTAGGCAAAGTGCTCTAAGAGGAAACCTGTTAGGCCAGAGGCACAGCAAGGCCCAGGGCCCGAGGCCTTTCGGAGAGCCATTTTCTGACACAGGCTCAGGCCCGGCCGTCAGAGGCACTGGCTGCTTTCTCAGCTGCTGTGGACAAAGCCTGCATTCGGGCGGTGGGGACTTCTGCAGTGGAGACGGCTCTGACTCACAACCGGGGGCCACTGAGGCCGCAGCTCTCAGTCTTAGGAGGCCCATACGCGAGGGTCTCCAGTTCCCAAACCACCCCCTTCGCCTCACACCACCTCTGTGATTCGCCTGCCTGTCTGAGGGGCAGGGTGGTGTGGGCCCACGGACAGGAGCCCTCTCCTTCCCCACAGGCCATTCTAGACCCCACGCTGTCCCCACAAGAAGCGCAGAGAAGGCTGCAGAGAACACAGGCTGTGGGGCACTTTTCATCTTCTTCTAAAAGGAGGGACACCCAAGGAGGGACTGCTGGCACCCTGTCTCACACAATGCTGCCTAAATGCTACATAAACCATGATATTTATACTCCCCGTTCTGAACTGAGAGTCAATTTAGAGAATCAGGGAGAGACAGGGGCCTGGCTCAGCTTCCACAGGACCACGAGCTGCTCGGGTGCAAGGCCAGACACATCCAATCCAACGAGGAGCTGCTGAGCACCTAGAAGAGTTTGCAGTGAAGTCTGCTGCGTGAATAAATGAATGGATGCTTTATACGACTGCTCCTCAAGCTTGCTCTGCTGGTCAGTGCGCTATGGAAAGAAGCTCCAGAAAGAAGCCCGAATGTGGAAGGTGTCACGTGTGACATGAATGGGGGTCACCAGGCCCAATTCTCAGGCCCTCCCAGGGTGGAGGAGGCCCATCCTCATCTAGCCCCCAGAGAGCAAAGCCTCTGAGTCAGCACAGAGCGTGGGCCCCCTTTAGGGCTTTGGGGGTGCTAATGCCCAGGAGTAGAGAACCAGGCCAACCCTCGAGAGAACCTCAGAATTCTCCCTGTCTGGCCCTGTTCCAAACCATAAAGACCAGGAGAAAGTGATCTGTGTGTGGACAAAACAGAGAAGCAAGCAAGCCTCAACATACACTACCCCTACCCACCACCTGACGTTGTCTAGAATGTACCTGAACCCAGTGCCGCACACAACCATCGCTGTCATCTCAGCCCCACCATCCTGACACCCCCATTCCTAGACAAGAGAGAGAGAGGCGCAGGAGGGCCTGGACCCGGGACCTTGAGTCTCTCTCCTAAAAGCAGCTGATGAGGGAAGACGAATCCAGGCCGCGCCTGTCCCTGCAGCAGAGCACCCCTTCCCCGTCTGCAGGAGCGCACCCCCGAAGAGGCCGAGAGAGAGGCAGGGAAGAGCTGGCCAGAGGCAACCACAGGAGAGGTGGTCCCCAGGGGCCTTGAGCTCTGAGGGACCCTGTGTCCTGGGCCCGGGGCAGCTTTAGTCACTCACAAGAGGATTACGGTCATCTTGTTGACTCGGACCCTTGAGCTTCTTCTTAAAGATGGAAATTGAAGTAGCAGGCTGATAAAAAATGCTCCAGATTTCCCCCGACGTCCCTGGCTGACGACAATCCCTAAGGTCCCCTGAAGCAGGAACGCGATGGGATCTGCCAAA